ACCTTGTGTTAGGAGTGAGTAACCCACTATGCCACCAAAGCTCCTTAGCATCAGTCTGGGGGACTGTTAGTCACACAAGAAGCCAGCAAAGCATGCAGGTAGGTTGTAGAGACCTGTGTTGCCTGAGAGCTTGCTCTGTCGGCTTGAATAGTGATACTCAGAAACGGTGCCTCCATCCTTTGAGGGAAGGAGGAAGTGGCCTCCGCAGGAAGGAGCCAACAAGGAGGACGGCAGTGGCTGCCTCTGCCAGCGCTGCGGTTCTGCGCTCACAGTCCGAGACCTATCACGGCACAATAAGACTAAGTGGATGCTTATTGGCTGCCTTGCCTTCCTGATTTGTCTGTGTGAGAGCCAGTATCTCAGCCTTCTGTCTATCGAATTTTCATCTTTTGTGAAAATACTGGATGAAAAGATCTCTTTGCAAGCTCTGGCAAAGTACATCGTTGGAAAATCACAAATCAGCAGTAGAATTCTTATCTCTTGTCCTCTACTCCCAGCCATGGAGTTCATCCCACCCTATAAGACACTGTAGCACTGTCCCTGTGGGTTTCTGAGACTGTAAATCTTTACAGAAGTTGAAAGCCTCATATGTCTCCCACGGAGCAGGCAGGGGGTTTCGAACACTGACCCCCACTACACCCAATACCTTAAAGGAGAAACATACTTTGCAGGCCTCACACAGTTCCTTTCAGCTCCACAGCTGGTCAGGATCCTTCTTGTCAAGAGACTAGGAAGACAATTTGATCTCCTTATTGGAATGAGTGACAATCTCCATTGAGGAAAGCAGGGATTCTTGGGACCAGCCAAAGGAATAGGGATGCCGTCTTTGACCTTGTTCATCTTGGCTGAGCCGGCTATCTGGAATCTTTGACAAAAACCACCCTGCGGCTCTCCTCTCCCTTTCACTGGCTTCCTTTCTGCTCTTGGCTGCCCCTGTTTTCCAGAACCTGCCCTTAATAAGACACAATAAAATCTGTCCAGTTGCTACAGCCCCAGAGTTCATCCACTAAACCCAATAAAGATAAGAGCACCTGATGTCGGCCAGGCCCCTTGCTGCACCCAGTGTTGCAATCCCTTTTAGTCCTAATTGCATGCACCCAAAGCCATCCCCACCTCTAAGCCCTCCTCTTGACCTTCATGATGCTGCTCTGCGGTTTCTTCCATCTTCCTGGTGGTTCGCATCGTCAGCTCGTCTTCATCCACCCCATGCCTCAAACTGTAATCTTCCCTGAGATGCATTCCCCGGTCCTCTTCTCTCTGGTTCTCACCTCGAGCCACCTCGTCTATTCCCCTGCCTTCAGCCACCACCCCTTCTCCGCAGATGGAGTTCCAGATCTGATTCTGATTTCCAGTTTGCCTAATGGACGCCTCCCACCTGTTTAGCCAGCTCAGCGCATTCAGCAGCACCTCCACTGTGTCTCAGCCAAAACACGTTCCCTTTCCCTTATTCCTTCATCACCCCTGCCATCCGGCCACTTACTCGTCCTGCATGGCACCTCCAGCAACAGATCGGGATCTCTGCCTCACTGGCAGTTCACTTAGGGCTCCCTCCTGTCTCGCGGCGCCCCTACTTTAACGTCGATTCTTCGGGGCTTTCCTTTGAACTCGCACACCAGCATCCTGGTTCCTGCATCAACGGGAGCCGCTAGCTACTCCACTTGATCCTCCATCAACTACCAGAGCTGCCGTTCTAGGACATAGATCTCATTGTGGCCCTTCCTTCTTACAAACCTCCAGGGCGTCCCCACTCTGCCTTCCCATGGCACAGGAAGTTACAGTCTGCCACGGCTGCCATGCGCACCTCAGCTACCATTTCTCACTCCCAGGTGTGTGGGGGGGGAATGGGGGGCAGTTCTACTACTAAAGCCGTTTTTGTGCACTTTAGGGTATCTGGAAATTTCTGCTCACCCTTTAAGCCCAGCTCAGTCAACCCTAGCAGTGATCAGTAACTGGTGAATGTGTGTGTGTGTGTGTGTGTGTGTGTGTGTGTAGACAGCCTCCCCGCCCCAACTCTCACACAAGTAAGGCTCCCACTCAGTGCTCAGGGAGCACTCTGGGAACATCTCTCGGGCTGCTTTATCCACATCATCTTGTAGCTGTTCTCTGTGGGACTCTGGAGCAGGGACGGCAGCTGGTGCCTCGTGGGCTGCTCCTCCCCAGTGTCCATGAGCATCAGCAGTCCCAGCCCTGTTTCCACGGAGCCCGCGGCAGAGGAGGGCTGGATGCCAGTCCATGCCACTGCACGCCGTCGCTTTCGGCAGAGAGGCCTCCTGTACACCAGGAGGGCTGTCGGACAGCCCCTGAAGTAGCTGCTCCTGAGGCACCCACCGTGGCTGTGTCGATGACACAATTGCTAAGCCAATGACAGATGGGTGTCTATTAATGCAAGATGTTGATGTTTCTGTGGAATGTGAGCAATCTATTGCTTCACGCTAGGAAATACCTGCGAGGAGGGCTTCACAACACTTGTGGGAAAATTCTGTTACCTTGGGAGCTGACATCAGCGTTCAAGAAGAAAGAAATGTTTGGAGAATGACAGTGGCAGCAATTGGAAATACTAATTGAATTATGGATTGCTGTAATATCTGTAGGCGCTCCCAATAAAGTGATTTTTTAAATTCTGTTCTTTTTCCATGACCTTTTTTGAAGCCCCCTCATACTTGTGAAAAGAGATGAGTGACGTGATGTATTAAAAATCCATTCTGAGTCTTTGCAAAGAATTCTTCCCTCGAGAACTCAGTCCACCAAACTACCAGACTGCCTATGCCGCCCAGTCCCTTCGAGAAGCCCAGCCCCCGGCTTTGCCAGCACAGCAGCGCGATGCTGCGCTCGCTTTGCCTTGGGTTTCTTGTGTTCATCATGAAAGAGGTGGTTGGGGAGAGCATTAAAAAGACACAAAGGTATCTAACGTTCTCTTCCAATCTCTGCCTTCAGAGCAGCACGTGGCGTGTAATTTCTTCTAGATTTGCATTTTTATTGTGTTCGTTTTTAAGACGTGGTTGGGGAAAGTGTTAAAAAGACAAAAGTTAAAAAAGTGTTAAAAAGACAAAAAAAAATCCTATTCCAGTTACCAGAATCTCTCTGGTCCACAATCCAAAGAAAACTGCCAGGTCTGGGTCATTTTTAAAAGCTCATTTAAAAAGCACTGTGATCGCTGCTGCTTTTTCTCTGTGTTCTATGAGGTGCATTTGCTACCTATTCTGTCAGCAGCTCTCTCGGTCATGGGTTTGCTGGGTCTGGGAGACAGGTGTGCTGGCTATCACAAAGATGCAGGGTCAAAATAACACGGAAAACTCGAAACGCCCTGTCGGCGGCTCAAGGGAAAGATACAGTTGAGGGATGGGTGTTTGTCTGTGAGTCTCAGACAAACATCCTATTCTATTCATTTAAGGGCCGGCTTGAATTCCGGTCACACTTCAGAATTTCTGACAGAGGCAAATTGGGTAATATAAACGAAGACGTCAAGAAAGTGCCATTGCTTATGTTGGTTGACACTTCTCCTCCCCTTACCCCGCCCCCTGCCCCATTCCATTCATGTACCAGAGACAGCTGGCTGTTTGTCGGTCACTGTGCGATACAGGAAACAGAATGACGAGAAAACTAAGACCGTGCCTCCAGGGTCTGTGCAGAACCAGCAGCAGTTTTGCAAACAGCCGTTGGTGCTGCCTCTTGGTAGATCTGCAGAGAGCTTTGCCTTTTGTGGTCGCAGTGGGTTTTTAATGAATTTATGCTGGTGGTGTATTACCGAAATGGCCTTTCTCTCACCTTTCTTTTTTTCAAATGTGTTTTCTCTCCTATTATGTTCCCACCTGTCTTCTCTGGAAAAATACATCAGGCAAACTGTCAGGTAGGTTCTTCTTGGTGTTTAATGTGATTATTAGGACGCTCCACAGAGAGAAATGAAGTAAACAGGCGGCTGGTGAGTGATAAAACTACACCGAAAAGGCACCTACCAAATTACAGAGAAACTTTTGCTGGGGCATAAACCCTAGAAGCTGCAAACACTGAGCACATTAAGCCGATGCGAACATCTGCTGGGCGGACTTAGCCTGAGGCAAGGACTTGTGCAGCTCTCAGTGATAGAGGAAGTTACCTGGACTGCCCAGCGTCTTGGTACAAACTACAGGCTGCTCCTAGAGGGCCTTATTTTCACTCAGTAGTATTATAAGCCATGTGGTCAGGAGCCATTCAGCTTTCCACACAATCCCAGCTTTACGGAATTGGCCGGCTGCGAGGGAAAGGTCCCAGGGATGTGTTGGAAATCCCTATTTTAACTCCGTATCCAAACGTAGTCTGGGGGTGAGGGAGGGCCGTGGCAGGCAGCTAAATTGTGTTCATGCTGGACTCACTGTTGGGAAACCGGATAGGGTTGAAGTCTAGTCCAGGGAATGATCCCGTGGAATGGCAGTGAGAGCGAGTGCTGTTCATCCTTCCCTTTTGAGTCAAGAGGGAAGAGTCTTGCTTCACCCACGGGAACCCCCGGAACAAGCTCTTTTTAGATCCTGAAGTGCAAGACGGTTACTTTCTAAACTGAAAGCAGAGTGAAGCCCCAGAGAGGAGACCAACATTTAAATGAGAGTGCGTTTGGGGGGGGGGTGTGTTTTCCTTTAAGCCGCTTTTATCTTTCAAAGGAAAGCATGATGTGCTTCAGTTGCCACGGAACGCACACTGTTCTAACAGCTTCCTTGTTTTAATTTCAGAAGTCAACAGAGCAAATGAAGAAGGTCCCCACTATTATCCTTTCCGTCTCTTATAAAGGAGTCAAGTTTATTGATGCAACCAATAAGGTAGGTGCTTCACCTCTGGCTGAGACGTAGACGTGGCCCCAGTATGTGATCTCAATGCTCTGGCAACCTCCTCCTCATTTTAATCACACACACACACCACCCAGCCTTTCCGACAACACAAACACACGCGCACACACGCACCACATACATCTGTAGTGGCACACTGTATTTTGGGGGCACCTTCAATAACCCTGTAATAGTTTCCGCTTCTCGTGGTGCCTTCCCTCACAGGTTATGACCCTTCCTACCTGGCGTGCCCTTTGGCTCCAGAGGACAGTGAAACAGAAGAAAGCCACTGGTGCAATGCAAAGGCACCGTGTCACCATTCCCCCATTAGGGGAAATGCCACTGGATGAGAAGCCAGGCCATTGTCTTTCCTTCTCTGTAGAGATAGCCGCCTGTCCTTTTTTTTGGACATGATAATAAATATCCTACCCAAGGAATCCATTCTGGCTCTTTAACGCTAAATGGCCTAATTCTCAAGTACTACGATGGCACAGAGAGTCTCAACTGTATTTTTTTACTTGAACTTAGCTGTGTATTTTTTAACAAGACATTTGATATTTCAGGCATCTTCACCTGTATTGTTCAGTGACATTAATGAGTTCATCGTGGTGTTCAACCATCACCTTTGCCATTTTAATAGACATAGTCAGCCCAGAGGCTTGGGCTGTGCTGTGACTTGTACTGCCAGCGAGAACAGTCTATGGGCTCTGAGATAGAGTGTGGACAGCTGGGTGGCATTTTACCTAAAATATGACAGATCTGTTGCTGGATTAGACTTCTTTGGTGTGGTCCCTCATTCTCCCTAAACTCCAAAACGTCTTCACAAACCAAATCACCAGAGGAAATGCCACTACACAGAAGGCTAGAACATTGCTCTTTCTCTTTCTCTAGAGATAACACCTGCCCTTTCTCTGGATGCACACACAGAAAAACACCCTCAGGCTTTCTACATTCTAAATTGTATTTAATTCTCAAATACTGAGCTAGATGAGAGCCTTTCAATGTTGGTCAGCACAGTAAAGGGATGTTTTATTTTTCCTCCACCTTTCTAACTGACAGACTAAGGGGAGTAGAGAAGAGGTGCTACACATGGGTGAATCCCATTTGCTTTCTGGCCTGCCTACAAAGCCTGCTTCCAGGGCCCAACCTGATAAAACAAGTGGCCCGAAGCAGTGGGGACTTGGGGCCAGGACATCTGGGTTTAGATTCTTGAGGGAAGCTCCATGGGCCGTGACTCTGGTGCGGATAATAGACGTGAGCATCAGAATCAGCCCATTGGATACATCCCTGATTTGTTTTACCTAACAGAAGAGGCCAGTGCATTGGGCAGATAAGCCCTAACTCCACATAGGAAAACCCCCTCCCAGTTTTAGAGAATGTTCTGAAAGCCAGGCAGAAACCTTTTAACCCATTGTTTACCATGCTGACACCCAAAGCAGGCTCAGAGCCTTTCATGGAATAAGAGCACTGTCAAGATTGTGGCTGTCAGTGTCAACAAGATCGTCTTTGTTCTGTAATTTGTTATTGGCACTTACTGTTGTCCGATTATGATTGTAGTTAGTCAAATCAGAATTATTCCAACGGAGTAGCTTGTTTTTATTTCCTGAAAGTGACTTTGGTTACTCCTCCTATTTGGCTTGTGAGGTCCCAAACCCTCATGGAACTCTCCAGCAAGACACCACTGCTCCCTGCTAGATCTAAAGTTCAAGAAAGCCTGGCACTTGGATGTTTTTCCCCCTCACCTAGAGCAACTCTCTCTCTCTTGCCCAATTTGCATTTGGACAACACAGCACTAGGTTGTCAGTGTTTGAATTTGACACTCTCTTCAATGAACAGCCTTAGCAGACTCTGATTCTGACTATTTCTAAGCAAGTGGGATTTGCCCCGAGAAGTTTCCAGACTCTTGGGGTTGTCATTCCATGGTGTGGCGATGGCAAGATTGGATGCTCCTGTGTTAGTAGTGCCCTCTCTAGCCACTCTCCCTGATGGGAGGATGGAGGAGAGCTCTGTCAACTCTTGTGCACTTTGCTTAGGGACACGTCTGACAACTTAGAAGAAGCTGATGCTCCTGTTCCACAAGGAAACACTGCTGCTGCATCACCAATCCGTGGGTGAATTGTTCATAAACCTCCACTCGCTGGCGACTGCTCCTTGGAAATCAGCTCAGAAAGACATAGTGAAGATACTTCTGTGTAAATAAAGACAACATAACTTGCAAGTGCTCTCAAACGCCACACTCACTGCCATCACAGTGATGCTCGAGGACAGGATAGCACTACCTCTGTGGGTCTCCAAGACAGCAAATCTTGATGGGAATAGAAAGCCTCATCTTTCTCCTGCAGAATGGCTGGTGGCTTTAAACTGCTGACATTGTGGTTAGCAACCCAGGGCATAACCTAGTACATCACCAGGCTCCCTCCATCTAAGAAGCATAGAAGAAATTTAAGGCCCCGTGGGTGGAGTTGGACTAACAGAAAGTTGAGAAACATTGCTAGCAACTAAGGAGGGAAGGCTGGTCTCAGAAAGTGTGTCATTGCTGCTGCTGCTGCTGCTGCTGCTGCTGCAAGGTGCCATTGGTTCATAGTAATCCTCTGTACATCAAAATGAAATGCTGCCCTGCCCGGCACCGGCCTCACAATTGGTATGCTTGAGCCCATTGCTGCAAGCACAGTGTCATTCCATCTTGTTGAGAATCTTCCTCTGTTTTGCTCGCCTTTCCTTTAGCAAACACAATATCCTGTTCCAAGACTGGACTCTCCTGAGAATGTATCCAAAGTACGTGAGATGTAATCTCGCCATGAGAAGCCATAGGAACCCAAAGAGGAAGGATCCTCCTCAGGTTGTGCTGTGAAAGGGACTGCACCCCTCTACCTGCTTAAAGCAGTGTCTGCCGTGACATCTCTACATGCACAGCCTGGGGAGGGGTATGCTACAGCAAAAAACAACCTCTACTGCCCACAACAGGAGCCCTGGTAGCATAGAGATTATGTGTTAGGCTACTAACCACAAGGTCAATTGTTCAAACCCGACAGCTGCTCTGCAGGAAAAATATAAGGCTTTCTGCTCCTGAAAAAAATGTACGGCTTTGGAAACCCACAGGGGCAGTTCATCTCTGTCCATAGGGTTGCTTTGAGACTGGGGTCATACCTCCCAGAATGCTCCCGATCTCATCTGATCTCAGAAGCTAAGCAGCATCAGGCCTGCTCAGTGCTTGGACGGATGGTATGGTTGTGTTGAGTCAGAACTGACTCTACAACAGTGTGTTTGGTGGTCTAATGCCCAGAGCAGGAAAGGAACAGTGGGTCACATCACAGTCTCCTGCTTTCTCTCTTTACTCTCAGAAGTGGCGTCTTGCTGGGCTGCTCTGGCTTGAGAGGAAGGCCTTGTGAAATGCAAGCATGTTTGGAGACCACAGTTTCAGATAATCAGGGCCCCTGGAGAAGCCCTCATTGTGCAGTGGTTAAGTACGCGGTTGCTATAACCCAAGATCAATGGCTGGAACCCACCCACAGGCTCCCCAGAAGAGCCTGGCAATCTGCTCCCACAAAGCCACCGGCCAGCAATGCCTTACATGGCAGGTCCACTCTGTCACTGGGGTCACTGTGAGTTGAAATTGACAGCACCTACGGAGCCCTGGTGGCACCATGGAGAAGCACTTGGCAGCTCAAAGCCCCATCTGCTCTGTGGGAGAAAAGACCTGGTGTTCTGCTCCCTCTGAATGAATGGCTCTCAACCACAGTGGCCACTAAACCCGTACCAGGCTATTTCAAAAAGTGTGTGCGAGACCATTTCAGTATCTTTGTATTCCCCTTTCCACAAGCTTTTTGAAGGCCTTGGTATCAAGATACACTAGGGGTCACACCTAAAGATCAGGTTTTAAGAGTCTTGTTGTCCTGAGAAGCCCTGTGGCAGAGGGGTTACATGTGGGGCCGCGAACTGCAAGGTCCACAGTCTGAAAGCACCCCCAGCAGCTCCTTGGGAGAAAGATGCCGCTCTCTGCTCCCACAAAGAGCTCCAGGCTTGGAAACCCATGGGGTGATCCTACCCTCCCCTAAAGGGTCACGGTGAGTCAGAATCGACTGGCTGGCAGTGAGTGTGAAGGGGTTTTTTGTACTTCATCTTAAACGGGCCCCTCCTGACCACTGTCATTTCTTTAACCTATGTCCTTTTCGATGGGGACGGAGGAGAGAGTGTGTAATGGGCATTTAGTCGATGGAATGACCAAAGGACCTGAGGCTCTTCCTGAAATGACGTCCTGACAGCCACCCAGCTAGTCGGTCCTGGAGGAAGACTGGAGCTTGGTTTCCCCTCCCACCATAGCAGTTTTCCTCCGCAGCCGCTTTCCACCAATTAGTTGGCAGCGCAACAGATAATTAATTATACGTTAATTACTCTTCCTTCCCCATTAGTCCCCATTAGACTACAGGAAGATGAGCCCTCTGGAGAAGCACTTCTTTCTTTTTGTCCTAATAAATCAGTGGTCGGCGCTGAGCTCGTCGGAGGGCGTTGGGCGCCTCGTTGCAAACACATAAATGGATTGCCTAGTAACTTAGGAAACGGATCCTGATTTGAAGCAGGAAGAGGCAAGAAAACGATGGTGAATTTCAAAAGGAACTCAGGGTAGATTAAGGATTAGACTCTTCCGGCAAAATCACATCCACTTCATGTAGTTGTGCAGCACGGAGGGACCCAGAGAACTGGCGCACTACCCAAGCGCAGGACTGGGTAGTGCAGGTCTTCCGAGAGACCTTCCTCCGTATCTACTGCAGCCCTAGTGGCCAGTGGGTGACGCATGGGCTGTTAGCCACAAGGGCACCAGTTTGACTACTGCTCCATGGGAGAAAGATGAGGCTCTCTCTTCCCACAAAGAGTTACAGCTTCAGAAGCCCCAGGGGACAGTGCTGCTCTGTCCTGGGGAGGTCACGCTATGAGCCAGCAGTTCTCAACCTGTGAGTCGAGACCCCTTTGGGGGGGTCTAACGACCCTTTCATGGGGTCGCCCGATTCATAACAGTTATGAAGTAGTAGTGGAAATAATGTTATGGTTGGGAGTCACCACAACATGAGGAACTGTATTAAAGGGCCGCATCATTAGGAAGGTTGAGAACCACTGGTATGAGTCCAAATGGACTCAATGACAGTGGGCTTGTAGATCAATGAGATGTCCCAGCGCGGGGACAGGGGACATAGCTCACTCCACTAAGCACTGCCAAGGAGTGGGTGGGGTTTTGTATCCCTGTGCTGTCTCCCTGCTCAGTCTTCCCCTCTGGTGAAATCGGGAACTGTGCCCAGTGTGGCCTTTGTTCTGGATGCATTCTCACACCAGCTCCAGAGCTTCACACAGGGTTAGTGCCGGGGATTGGGCACAAGGTACCGTGGAAGGAACCGCTGCAAACGCATATGCCTGTTTTATAACGTGCTTTTTCTTCTAAGAAGGTAGGATTCGAATTGGGAGTACACTGCTAAGTGTGTGCTGTTTCTCAGAGTGGCACTCTGCAGGTGCCTGCCGTTCACTGTGCACCAGGATTGCTGCCTCTGTCCCGAGGGGTCCTTTTGGGAGATAGGGCGGCCAGGTGGGTGACACTGTATTCATTCACTCAGATAACGTCTGAAGAAGACCTCTCTGTTAGAGCCCAGAGGGAGCCCAACTCTTACTCCGGGATCATCACACACAGCCTCCTTAGGATTCTGGTATGAGTTGGCTAGACCACAGAAGTCTGCGTGGCACCCACAAGCAGTGGACAGGTACCTGAAGGATACCGCATGGTCCAACTTCTATCTCAAAGGAGAAAATGCAACTCTTCTCTTGGAACATGCTTACAGCTGGACAAAAGGAACCGTTTAAAACTGCAGCCATGACATCACCATGTAAAGGGCGGAGGAGCCCTGATCGACACATCACATGAGGTGGGAAGAATGGATTTCTTCTTGACTTCTCTGAGTTCACCAGCCACCCCATCTCCACCATCTAGAGCATAGAGCCAGGCTTCCTGGATTCGTCGGACACATGGAACCCGGGCCTCCTGCTCTGCAAGGCTGATGGCCCAGGATGAAAGTTGCAGCACAGTCATGCTACCCATCCCCCCACGTGGTTCTGGAATCCAGGCTGGCTTAGTGCGAAACCCCCACAGTGCCTGCACTGAGATCATTTTTAAACCTGAACGCAAAACATGCCCTCACGTCGTCCTAAAGCAAACCGCTCCAGCGTGCCAGGTAAAGAAGGAGCCTTGCACTCGCTCCAGCACTAGTTCTGTGTGATCCAACGGACAACGGGAACTCAAGGATTAGATGGGCACCTTAGAGGATGGTGAGTGAAGATGCCGGTGGGGAAGAACTCCTCAGAAAGGGAGGGGCAGCATGGTTGCACAACTCAGAAATCATATGCAGTGTCACAAAGTTGCATATGTAGAGGAGGCTGATTTGGTGGGTGTTCTGCTGTGCTCTGCATATTCTCAACAACAACAAAAATCAGATACATGATTTTTTAAAAGAAAATACAGTGAGACTCTAGACCTGGAGTCTCACCACATGGTAGCATCACGGGTATACCAGAAGTTCTGCTCCAATATACCTCCATATATAGCCCATCAACACAAATTCATTTAAGTACATTTTTCAAGTGCCAACTACATGGCTAAGTGTAACTGTGAGTCACACCTTAATGATAGGAATTGAATTGTGCGTCCCACCCCCACACCACCCCAAAAGTGTGTCAGTTTGGCTGGACCATGCTTCCCAGTGGTACATGATGATCCTACATTTTTGTCATCTGGTGTCATTATATTGCACGTTGTAAATCCTCACCTCTCTGTTGTTAATAGGCAGGATGCATACTAGAGGATTGGGTTATATCATGAGTCTATCTCCTTTGACATGTAAAAGGGGTTAAGGATTTAGCAAGTGAGCAGAGATCAGATCACCACCAACAAAGAAGAACCAGGAGTGGATCACATCCTTTGGCCCCAGGTCTCCACTGGGAATCTCCTAGATCGATGTGAAGACACGTGGAGAGCTCTTAGGAATGTCAAGCCCACCGCTGCTGAAAGGAGATTAAGACCCTTCCTCCCACACTGTGAGCCCACAGAGAAAGCCTGCTCCTAGAGTTATCATCTGAAATTCGGACCTCGGCCTCGCAAACTATGAACGAACAACGTTGTTGGTTAGCGCCATCCATTTATGGTGACCCTGCTCTAACAGGGCCACTACACAACCAAGAGACTGTGATGGAATGTGGTGTTAGCTTGTTTTCCACCTAGCATAGACCATGGGAACAGAGGAATGAGACTTTTGACAAGGGGAGAGGAGGCTTATTTGGGAACGTGGGGCATCTCAGAAGAGAGCAGACCATACTGAACAATTAAAAGATAACCCTGGGTTTCTAGGGCACAGAGAGGCGGAGGTGCCCAGAAATTTGGAGGGGAGGTCAAAAAGCTGAAAGGAGCCCCCAGGAAAGACAGAGTGGGAGAACGCCAGTGATACCCTTTGAGGTGCTGCCCCCGCCTCCACACGGCAGCCATGGAATTGAAAATTGCCAAGAGTGACACCATGTGCATCGGCAAGATGCAGGGAATTCAGTGCATCCAACATCACGGGCGGTTTTCTCTTGAATACGCCCCTGCTTTGTGCTTATGAATGATGTCCACAATGCAAGAGATCAGCCGTTAGAAGTCGGGCAAACCAAACCAAACCCACTCCCGTCGAGGGTCAAATTCCCAGTGACCCCATGTAGGGCTTCTAAGGCTGAAAAGCATTACGGGGAGCAGACAGCCTCTTCTTTGCCCCGAACTGCAGCTGGTGGTTTTGATCTTTCAGCCTTGCAGTTAGTAGCCCAACACTTAGCCCCCAGCACAGCGGTTCTCAACCTGTGAGTTGCCACCCCTTTGGGGGTCGAGCAACCCTTTCACAGAGGTCACCTGATTCATACGAGTAGCAGAATTAAAGTTACAGTTACAGTTATGAAGTATCAACAAAAATGGTTGGGGAGTCACCACCACATGAGGAATTGTATGAAAGGGCCACAGCATTAGGAAGGTTGAGAACCACTGCCCCAGCACCATCGGAACTGAAGCCATGTATTGCCAGTAGATCCCTCACAGGTGAGACCAACTCACCAAGGCAAGAGCAAGAAAATAAAGCTGCCATTAAGTGGAGTCCAGCTCATGCCAACACTTCTCAGATGATGGAGCGCCAGGCCTTTCTCCCGACCTTTCAGTTAGAAAATCCGTGTGTCAACCCTTGCAACAGTGGCAGAGGCTTTCAGTGCCTACTTCCTTACACCGTACCTTTAAAGACGGAAAACCCTCCCGTTTTCAAAAGTGCATCTTAAAACTCACTAGCTCCTAATCTCATTTGCTCCTTGGAGAAATGCTCTCCAAATGCCCGAAGAGGACCACGAGCTTCTGTTTTGAAAGTGTCTTGCAGTAGAATGCACCTTGTTAACAGGATTCCAATTTCCATGTGCGATATTTTTGACAAAGCCCTGCCTGTGGTATCAACACCCCGAGCAACGATGAAGAATGTCTTCATTTTCTTTTTATGTCTTAATTCTGTAATTGCTTCCCGACCACATAGCTCGATCGAGTGAGGGACACGCAGTGCTTTCTAGGGACCCTGGCAGGAAAGGACATTTTGTAGGCATTTTTAGACACTGATGGGTATATGTGGAACTTTATACTGCTGACAGGTTATTTAAGATTGTGCAATTAAAAAGTAATTAGGGTAAATAAAGCATTGATGCTTTTAGATCTCTGACAACTGCAAAAATAAACATAAATGGGACATGATTTTTTTAAAAAGAAGATTCTATTATGTGAGCATTTTTATTTTATCTTGTTGCTTTTTAAATACATCTGTGCTTCAAAAGAAGACTCCAGTAGGACGTGCTGCCAAGATACTCCCTGATAATTCCATGCTTAAACCTATCCTCCTTTTCTTCCCACCAGTTCAAATTGGAGGCCGGGGGTTGGGGGGGTGGGAGCAGGCAAAGAAATGCTGGAGAGAGAAAAACAAAGTGATGTTCAAACAGTGAGGGGTGGGAAGGAGGAGGCATGACGTGTCTTTGAAAGAGTGTGAGCTGTACCGCCAGACAACCCCGGATTTCAGTCCCACATCCGTCACCTGCCCAGGGTAAGGCAGCCACACTCCCTGAGTACCAGTTTTCTCACCTGCGAAGTAATAACAACTGCACCAACCTCCTAATTACACACGGTGGTGTGGTTAATTAAGTGTTGTCACACCCACGGGCCGGGTCTGGATCTAGTGGGACCTCCTTATATTGCAGCATGGTTGTCTTGGTTTCCGTAACCATATACCACCAAGTGGGAGGCTTTTAATGAGAAGAAATGTATTTCCTCTGGCTTCTGGACGGTAGAAATCAAATTCAGGGCACTGGCAGGACAAGGCTTCCTCTGTCCACTCCAGAGAAAAGGATCATTCCTTGCCACTTCCAGCTCCTGTAGCCCCAGGCATCTCTTGGTTTGCAGCTATTTCTGTACAGGAATTTTTTTTCTCCCAGATGTTACGTCGCCATGTCTATCCTTCCCTTTAAAAAACACCCCCCAGAAAAGATTAGGACCTGGGTCAGAGTGGCGTCCAGCAGCAAAAAGTGACAGGTGATGCTTTCCCTGAGAGGGTCAGCAGGAGGCAGTCTTCAAGGGGATATGAGAATGGGAACCACACCATACTCAGTCACGGTTGTGGGTGTTTTGTTATTGTTTTAAGGTGTCTGCCGCCTAGACTGCTCTTGTGCATGCCGATGGGTGAGAGCCAATGCTCCAGGGTTTGACCATTTCAGGTTGTTTTGTAGTTAAATGAAAGCAGTCCTCCCAGACCTGCCGTGTGTTTATCTAACCTATGGACTGGGCGTTGGGTCAGTCTGAACACTGGGCACTAGGACACTCTGAAAGGAAAAAGCTACTTCCTAGTCATTGGCCTTGCTTCTGAAAGCTGCTGGTTTGCAAAGGAAAACAATAGCCTTCTGTGTGATTTCTTCTAGAACATAATTGCTGAGCACGAAATTCGTAACATCTCCTGTGCTGCCCAGGACCCAGAAGACCTCTCAACATTCGCTTATATCACAAAAGATTTGAAGTCCAACCACCACTACTGCCATGTGTTTACTGCCTTCGATGTGGTGAGTAGCAACCGTCTCTTAAGACGCATCAAAAATCATCCGAAAACATGTCTGCATTTTATTGAAAGCCCAGCTCATCATTAGCATACAAGTTTTAGCTTCTTTACCAGAAATTTCATTTATAGCAGCCAATTATAAGGTATTTTGGCAGACAGGCTTGTCTGAGTTTTTTCTTTACTCTCACCCCTTCATTGCATTTAGAATTCTTCCCCCCACCCGATAACCTCAATTGACATTGCTCAACCACTAACTTCCTTTTTCAAATTTGCCAAATCCCTTCTTCCTCCACAACCAAAATAACATAAAGATCTTTCAGCTTTTTTCTTCCTTTGCTATATATATTGGTTTCTCTGATAGCCTTTTCTAAATAATAGGGCCCAATAGGACAGGATTGTTGGGCAGAAAAGTACATTCCGGTGCCTCATCCAATATCTGTGTGTGTCTGTATTCAACAGGAATCATATTTGAAGCCTAGGAGTAATGACTGAAAATGCCAAAAGGTATAATGATATCGTTGTTGGTTGCTAGGGCGTTGGCACCAATGCTATGTACAATAGTATGTAACATTGTCAGGTCTTCAACTCGCTTCGCAATTGTTGTCATCCATCAAGTTTTCTTTGACTGAATTGGCTCATTTTCAGAAGTAGATCAATAGGCCTTTCTTCCTAGTCTGTCTTGGTCTGGATTCTGGCCGCTGAAACCTGTCCACCATGGGTGACTCTACTGGTACTTAAAATACTGGTGGCATAGCTGCCAATATCATTAAAAAACAAACAAACTCACTGCCAGCGAGTCAATTCTGATTCATAGTGATCCGACAGGACAGAGCAAAACAGCCCCATGGGTTTCCAAGGCTGTAAATCTGTACAGGAGCATAAAGCCTCATCTTTCTCTTATGGAGCAGTTGGTGGTTTCTAACTCCTGACCTTGTAACCAGCAGCCCAACACATAATCCCACTATGTCACCAGAGTTCCTCCTGTAGCAACGTGCAAACCTCTCAGTACAACAAACTGACAGGCAGGTTGGTGGTAGCTTCATGGTGTAACGCCGCTAGTATTCATACTGGATGTTCAGTCAAAAACTTAGTCTATACATCACCAGCTTGGACACTGAAAACAATACATGTTCCTTTGGGCCCTGTAGGTCCTCAAGATGAAACAAATTGCTTCAGAGTGTCTCTGACATATTCCCTTTGGCAGGCATCAGTTGAAGCTGAGAGGAAGATGCGTAAGCCTGGTCCCACCCTGGACTAGTTGATAATCAGAGAAATCCTAAGACGTCACTTTAGTGTTCTCGTTCTTTGGCCCTGCGCCATTTGAAATCTGCATATTTCAAGCATTCTATGGAAATGTCAATAGAATCTACTCTTGGGAGGCCAGCCCATGGTTCAGTATCCTGGGGGAGCAGGCTGCACCAAGCAATCTCCCAGTTCTGCCAAACACTCCTCGACCAGCCCCGCTGTAACCCCAAGTGTACACCCATAGGATTTGTATCCTGCAGCAGACTGCTCCTCCCTTTCAGGTTTGGGAAATTGAAAGCACAGGAGAGAATGCTCGTGGGTCTTGAAACCCTTGTGCACTGCCGCCTTTCTTTTAGTACGTTGGGCTTTTAAGTAAGATATAATTTGCCTTCATAGGAATATCAAGAATATTGTTTGGCCTTCAAACAGAACATGCCCCCCCGCTTGTGTTTTTAGCTATGTTTATATATCTGACAATAGACTCCTGAGAGGGGTTTCAGGGACGAAGTGGTCAACTAGTCAGTCGCCTGCTTATCCACATCATGCCCCTGATACGCTTGAACAATGGGCGGAGAATTGTTTCAGATTTTGTCATTTCATCCGGATGTTTGATTGAACATCGACATTCACCAGCTTAGGATTCTATTATCAGCTCCAAAGGATTTTCGTCTAACATCATAAAGTCACCATTTTAATCCTCTCCCAGTGAACATAGCTGGCCTCATTTCAAAAATAGTAACCAAGGCCACCAGCTTGGACCTGAGCCTTTGAGCGATTCTGAAATGCAATGAGTGTGGCTTGTAATTAAAACGAATTAAAAAAACACCTCTTTGAGCATGGATTTTTTTTATCTTTATGTAAATTGGTTTAATAATCAATCTTAAAACTCCTTTAATATGAATCTGCCCCCTGTGCTGCGCCAAGTAGAGAGGGAAAAGAATTGCTTTTCACTACCTCAAACACATATCTTATCTCATAGCTGGTATGCATAAGTCCATCTATGTTATTTGCTCCAAAGCTGTTGTTGCTTTGACCTTATGTACCTTTTATGGGTAATGTAATGTTTCTAAGAGTATCCCCTATCATCAACCCCTTAGTGAAGTAGGCCATTTCTAGTTTACTTGGATCTTTTTGCATTGAAATCAGTTGTCCTGGGAAGGTGGGTGAACTTCATATCCTTCACACACTACTAAGCACTTCCAAGCTTCATATGCCCTATGAGTCTCCAAAAGATGGGATGCAGTGGACAGTGTTTCCCGGATTTACTTAGCTACAGGATGCGTTCAAGAGAACCTCACAGGAGTGGCATTCTCCAGAACATACTTGGAGAAATGATCCACTTAATACCACAAACATGTTTACAAAGAACCCTGGTGACACAGTGGGTTAAGCATTGGGCCGCTAACTGAAAGGTTAGATGTTCAAGCCCACCAGCCATGCCACAAGAGAGAGATGAGACAGTCTGCTCTCATAAATAGTTATAGCCTCAAAAACCCTTCTGAGCCATTTTACTCTGTCTGATAGGGTTGCTCTAATCAGAATCTCTGGTAAACTCAGCTTGTTCTGTAGAGGACAAGTTAATGAAAATAGCAAAAACAGAATTAGGGGAAAATATCAGCCTCCCTGCATTCGGTAGTCTAAACTAGCTATCATGGGAGCTGGTTTTTATTCAAATCTCCAGTTTGGTAAGCCTGAAAATATCTCATTCACTTTAGCACGAAAGGTTTCCCAGACTACCTTCTAGGCATGAGGGGAAGTCAACAGTTGGACTGGGTATAAAAGAAAGGGGGAGTTATGAAACCAGGTATTCTGAGGGCAGAAAACAAGAATTTAGCATTTCTCTCCTCCTTTGTCTTCTCAGGTGAGTGGAGGAGCATTCCACACTGGTAGGTTTGCAAAAGAGAGTGAGAATATTAAAGCAGTCACAGAACCCCAAATCTGCAGGATTTTTCTTAGAAGGCCATGTAAAGACAAGATGAATATAACCCAAGTGATTTGGAAACTATTCTCTTCTGTATGTTATTCACACATTTATTTTACATTCTCCAGCAATACAGTTGAGGTGGGCATATTAAAAAAAAGCTTTTGATATATTCTCTGCAGGTGTAGCAGATTTGTTTAAAACATTCAGTAATTTCAGCCAACAGAAGGGTTCTCCCACCCCCACCCCTCATAGCATTAAAAGCCAGGGCTTTGTTGCTGGACATCTATAAAGATGTTTGTAGTCTTCGATGATATTTTTATCCTGGCTTATTTATGCCTGGCTTGCAACTCCCCAGTTCTGTCCTCTTCAGTGTGTGTGGCTTAAACTGGCTTGGAGATGTGTAGAGGATTTCAGAGCGAAAATGCTTGTGGGTGGTACATGTGGGAGAGGGAGCTGTCTTCTTCTGTTCTTTCTTGGCTGAAAGTGGGGCTTGAAAGAATCTAAATTGGAAAACCAGAAATGGCAAGAGGCAGGAAAACATGGTCCACCAACTGTGGTAGCATTCTGTAGTACTCTACAACCTGTCTGTATCCAGCAAGCTGAGCCGCAGAGAAGGAAAATGTGAGCATGAAAATATGATCACCAAGATTGGTGGTGAGCAGTACACCAGCTTCTGACTTGGGCTCTGCTGTCAGATGGTTTCTTGGTTTCCACATCCTCTTAATGGAATTAAAATCCCGTACCCTTTCCTTACGTTCTATGACTATTTCCATTGCATAGTTTGAGGCTCCCAAGGAAAAGTCTGTATGGGGTTATGTTGCAAATGTTGTTCTCCAGTGCAGGAACTTAAAGGGGTCAAAGAACTTGAGTGAACTCTAAATTAGTGTGGAGCTAAGTGGCCTCTTCCTTCCCACTTCTTATTTTCCCCACTCGCAGATAGCCCATGACCTATCTGACTAGGAGAGTATGAAAATAAATGGCAGTAGAAGAAAGTGTTCAGAGTGCATAGAACCCTTAAGATCCATCTCTAACAAGTTCCCTCCCTGGTCTTCATCATACAATCCACACATAAAATAGAAGCTCTGTCCTGGCCCAGAGTCAGCAAGGTGCCCACTTCTGAGAGCAGGGGATGACCCAAATACAGTGGGGGGAAAGGCAGTGCTCCCAACCTTATTGTCCATCTTCATTGACCACAGCCCTTCAATAAAAAACGTTAATTACCACTCCTGGGTTTCATTTACCCACATCTCCTGTCCATTAACATAAATCACTGAGAGTTAATTAAGATATAATGTCAAAGGTTGGTGGCTGGTGCAAGAGTAATGTCACTCCTTTTTCTCTTCTTGGAACCCTGGTGGCATAGTAAATTATACCTTAGACTATTAATCACCAGGTCAGCAGTTCGAAACCACCAGCCTCTCTGTAGGAGAACAAGAGGGCTTTCTACTCCTGTAAACTCTCACAGTCTCAGAAACATACAGAGGCAGTTCTGCTCTTCCCAACAGGCTTGTTTTGAGTCAGAATTGACTTGATGGCAGTGAGTTTTCCCTCTCGTCTGTAATTACACTTGATAGATGTTATCAGTGCCTTAAACGGATCCCTTTTTTTAAAGAAAGAAAGATAGGCATAGTGGTTATGAGTGGAGCTGCTAACCTCAAGGTCAACAGTTTGAAACCACCAGATGCTCCATGGGAGACAGATGAGGCTTTCTACTCCCGTGTGGTCATTATGAGTCAGAATCAACTTAATAGCAGTGAGTTAAGTTGAAAACTGAAAGTAAGCATTCTGAGATTGTTTTGCTTTTGCACATTTAGATTGTTTTTGCAGCATTTATC